CATAGTCAGTGACTTTACTGCTGGTTTTCGTTCTGTTTGTACCTGTGTTGATCATCTCCACAAGCCCCCGGAGTTTTGTCATGGGTCTAGTGCTCAGTGCCCTGCTCCAGGCACTGTCCTTGGTGCTGATAAGAGAGCCGTGGATGAGACCGGCATATAGCTCGCCCCACCAAGCACAGCCTTAGAAGGGAAGGGTACGTTAGGCAGGCACCTTACAAGGAGTCCTGGCTGGCAGCCTTGGTGAGCATTGTAAGGAAAGGCACGGGGGCTGAGAGAGACTGCCGCAGGGATGTGACCAAGCCTTTCATGCATAATGACATGCTCAGAGGTATGTAATCCGATTACAGATGGGATTTTTTCTTGCATTGTGTAGATAAACATAGATTGAAACTGTTAAAATACCATATTAAAATCTATTCTTGTTCCCCACATGAATAAGCTTTTGTAGGACTTTTCAATATGAGCTGCAGCTGATGATGGCATTCTGCCATAAGCTTGGAAGCAGCCTGTGGTCACAGGGAGGGTTCGGGGGGAGGGAGTGGGACAGCCCCACGGAGCCTTCTTTGCAGGAAAGTCTCTCCTGGTTCCGTGGGCGCCCAGATCCACACGGAGGAGCTCCGTGAATGCGCAGGGCACTGCAGGCCTAGCGCCTTTGTGAGTTGATTAGAATCCCTGAAGAGGCACCTCAGGTCCAGATTTGAAGACCAAGTGTTTCTGTATTTGAACTTGAGCTGTCAGACAATAGGAGCAGGAGGGTGGGGGGGGGGAGAACCGCTGGTGGAGGGGGGGTGGGGCGGCTTGTCTTTGAACTTTGAGAAGCAAGGGGTGCTGGGAGAGAGTGGGAGATTTCTGATTATGGTTTTCCCTGAATGTTACTTGGGTGGGGGACATGTTTCAGAAAGGGCAGGTTATTGGGCCCACGGAGAAGGCACCCCACTGTAGCCGCGTGGAGGGTTTCCACCCGGAGTGTCCGAGCGAAGGGCTCAGTCGTCCATCTGCTCCCTCCACCTCTCAGAGGGCTGCTGTCCCCCAGCTGACCCCACCCCGGGGGCCTGGAATGTTTTCATTCCTTACTTGGCAGCAGTTTCACCCACTGCCATCAGACTGCGGGGCCTGGGGAAGCTCAGGGCCCATCTTCAATCCAGGTGTCTTCGTCTCTGACCGATCACACTGACTCTAAGGGAGCCGTTTGTATAGGACACTGTGTCTTCGTGAGGCAGACGGACATTCGCTGCCAGGCGTGCAGTGCGTGCTCCTGTCTGCGTTGGCGCTGACGTGTGAGCGCGTGGTGAGGAACAGGCTGTGGAAACCACCCACGGTTCTCAGCGAGTGCGTGTCTGTGCTGTGTTCTCCGCCCCAGGCAGTTGCAGGGTTATTGTCCCTGTTTTGTAGGTGAGGAAACTGAGGCTCGGCAAGGGTAAGTGGGGGGCTGAGGACTCAGTCCCAGGGCAGCCTGACTTCCACGTCTTGGTCCCTTTCCTCTGCACCCAGTTGCACTTTTGCTTGTGTGAAGGTGTTTGGAACATGAAACATGAGCAGGTTTTCAAACCTCCCACATGAGGTGAGCCAGTCTGTCATCCCTTTGTCTGTGGAGTGGCTTTTGCCTCCGTGTGTGAATCGTTAGCAGCCTGGGCCTCTGGTCATGCTCTCTGCATCCGGGCCCAGCAGGATGTGCATACAGCAAGTGGAGAGCGGGGCCGCCTCCGACCCTCCCCCACTCCTCAGCCCTCTGACGCCTGCGGCTTTGTCATCCATCCCAGGAGGAGCAAGGGCGAGCTTCCGGTTTCCTGCCTGCTCAGTGGGTGGGGCGCCCTTCAACCCACCCACAGGGCTAGTGCACACACACTCACATACACCTCCGCGTTCTCAGCACTTCCCAGCAAGGAGCGTTTGATTAAAATGGCCAGAGGTGACCGGACATTTTGAAGGTAACGCCATAGTGACTCAGGAGTGTTAGGTGACATATCAAGGCAGCCGCAAACCCCTTCCCTCAGACCCAGGGACCCTGTCAGACTGATCTTCCGGGAATGTCAGCCTTAGGCCCCTGGCCTCACCCTGGGGACATCTCAGGACTGTCCCTTCCCTGGGTCAGCGCCTGCGAGAGGCTGCTGACATCGGTCTCATCCATCACTGTATCCCAGGCCTTGAAGGTGCTTGCCCTGCTGGGTGTGAGGTCAATATGAGGACATGCAGTCAGCATATAGTACCAGCACCAACCTATGTCCAACATGAGGACATGCACTCAACATAGTACCTGTGCCAACCTATGTCCAACATGAGGACATGCACTCGACATAGTACCTGTGCCAACCTATGTCCAACATGAGGACATGCACTCGACATAGTACCTGTGCCAACCTATGTCCAACATGAGGACATGCACTCAACATAGTATCTGTGCCAACCTATGTCCAACATGACGGCATGCAGTCGACATATCACCTGTGCCAACCTATGTCCAACATGAGGACAGTGGGCAGCGTCTCTGCTTCGCTACTTTGGGCCAGTTAGTAAGCCTGTCGGCTATAATATATGGTCTCAATTCCAAAAGGGGGAAACTAGGAGCTCTTGAGGATTAAGCGATATGCTTCAGATGGTATGCGCGTGCTGGGTCAGTCACTTCCAGTTCAGGCAGTAGAAAGCTCTGGCATTCGTACTTAGCTCAGAAGCAACTGCAGAGGATGGTACCCAGGGTCATGGCTGGTGACTCTGAACCAGTCCTGACCATTTGCACTCTCTTGCTTGCTCCTCATAGTTTCCTGCTGTCCCTTCTCTGGCCTCTTTCTTCACATGTCCTGGTGGCTGCTCCTCCTCCCAATGATGTCACTGGGCAGCAGGATACTATGGGACCAGGGATTTCGACAGGATTGCATCGATTCATCATCACAGTATTAAGTCTTTCAATCCATGAACATGAAATGTCTCTGTTTCTTTGTGTCTTGTTTCATTTCTTTCAGCAACACTTTGTAGTTTTCAGTGTGCAAGTCTTTCCTTGGTTAAGTTTATTCCTAAGTATTTTATTCTTTTTTGATGCCATTATAAGTGGAACTGTGTTCTTAAGTATCTTTTCAGATTGCTCATTGTTAGTATATAGAAGCACAACTGATTTTTGTGTGTTCATTTGGAATCCTGCACCTTTGCTGCATTCACTTATTCTAACAGTTTTTGTGAGGGGGGATCTTTAGGATTTTCTACGTATAAGATCATGTCATCTGTGAACAGAGATAATGTTACTTCTTTTCTTTAACATGGATGTCCTGTTCCTTTTTCCTGACTGGCTGATCTGACTAGGACTTCCAGCACTACTAGTCTGTTGAGTAACAGCGGTGAGAGTGAGCACCCGTGTCTTGTTGCTGATCTTAGGGGAAAAGCTTCCCGTTTTCTCTGTTTAATATGAGAAAAGCTGTGGGCTTTTAGTCTATGGCCTTTGTTATGGTGAGGTAGTTTCCTCCTATTCCTAGTTGTTCTTAGTGTTTTTATCATGAATGTTGTCCGGTGGTTTCTGCATCAGTGGCGGTGATCGTGTGGGCTTTCCCCCTTTCGCTCTGTCGGGCAGACATTTTTATGGAGCTAAATTGTATGAAAATAGAGAAGTGAAGCTGATGAAGCTTTGTTCATCTTTTTAAGGAACTGGCTGGTGGGGAGAGGGACATTTTGACATTAATATTAAAGGAGACCGAAACATGAGACCCGACCCTGCCACAGACCTGTGACTCCTTTCCCCTGTCAAAAAGTGTCCCATTGTGTGCTGTGCATAAGGGGCAAGTGTTAATTGGTTAATTAAACATCTGAGCCCCCCGTTTAAGTGAGGATTCATAGGAACTGCCAGTAAGGAATAGCTTTCCGAATAAATGGTGCGTTAGTGAGTGGGGTAGAGTGCGCCATTCACAGGTCAGCTGTGGGAGGCAGGCGTACAGTTAGGTCCGTGTTCTGCAGCAGGGAGAGCGGCCAGCAATCATTTATGTGATTGCCGTGAAGAGTCAGAGGCATTTTATTCAGGAAGAAGTCAAGTACGTGTGGATGACAGGATCATATCTGGGATGGTTTGCTTTGAAATAACCTAGTGGGAGTTGGAGGGGGAGAAGGCGTAAAGTTGAAACTACAGCGACCATATGTTAAGTTCATTATATATTCTTTGCAATTTTGTATTGGTTTGAAATTTGTCATAATGAAAAGTTCAAAAAAGAAACTCAGTGTAAAGCAACGATGATGTGGCTTTATATCAAAATCTTATGTAGCCATTACAGTACACTTAGGAAGAATTAGCAAGAAAATCAGGAAGTCAATTTCCTAATGTGGTGTGTGTGTGCATATACATACAAATATTTGCACAGAAAATACTGGGAAGGAAATACATTAAAACATTACTTGTGATTATCCTTGGCTGGTAGGACTATGGGTGGTTTTCATTCTCTATATCTTATAAACTTTCTACAGTGAACAAGAGAAAAACATAATTTCTGAAAACGTTTTTTTGTTGTTGTTGTTTTTTGAGAGAAAGGAACCAAATCTGCGTTCTGTAAACTAGTTAAAGGATATTTTGTTTTATTTCAGTTTACATTCAACCCCGTTCTGTATTAGCTTCAGATGTACAACAAAGTGTCCAGAAAATCACGTGCTCTACACAGTGGTCCCCCACTGCCTCAAGCCCCCCCCCCACCCCGGCCCATACCATCTGTCTTGATATCATTGACTACATTCCCCGTGCTGTAATCCACATCTCTACGGCTGTTCTGCAACTAAATGGGTGAAGCATTTGTTCCTGCTATCTGTTTTCTATGCAGTTGCTCTGTCAGCGAATGGTTAAATGCCTGTGTGGTTACTAATCTTGAGCTGTCGTTGTGTTTTTGGGCTGTACTGTCCCGTAATATGCCATAGAATCTGCCTTTGCTGGTGCGGCAGGCGAGGTCATAGACAGAAAACAGTCACCACCACCATTTTTCTCACTGTTAACTTCTGTTAAACATGTTCCTTTAATGTGAATTTCCATCTGGTTTTAGGGAGCTGGACATGATTTCCACACGGGTGATGGACTTTAAGCTTCGGGAGGCTGCCGAAGGCCTGGGGGAGGACAGCACAGGTAAGGCCTCGCTTCCCCTGCTCTGGGGAGAGTCCTCACTGGGTTGTGGGGCAGGGGGAGGGGCTGACGGAACCAGGCCATTGGGGTTCTCTGCATGGAGAGTGGGGGTTCAGTTCACAGCATGCTCAGACGCCCCCTGGGTCCTTCATACCGAGGCCAGAGGACCTGCAATGCCGGGGGTCCTCCTTTGCTTCTGTCAGACATGGAGGGCGGGTTAGAGTCATTTTCCTCATTCCCGTCCCCATGATTGATTGACTTGAGAGGTGCAGTGGAATCGTTTATTATCCAAGAACATCTGAAGGTACCAGCAGGAGGTTGGCAACGTATAAGGTAGCCTGATCGTCCAGAAGAATAGAATAACAAAGCCTTTGAATCCTCTTTTAAGGCTACTCTTTTTCAGGAGACCTTATTATATCCTCTACTGAGTTAAATGCCAGGCCCATGAAGCACCATCTCACAACATGTCCTGAGAGTTACCCGATTATTTGATTGGTTTACCACTACTCATATATTGCTATTTATGTCTTGATAGAGTTGTAAAATTGACCTTAAAAATCATCGATCTTCCTACAATGTACCTTTTCCATAGATTAGCCATTTATACTCACCTTATTTTGGTAACAAAGGCCTCCATCTCTCTCTCTCTTTAAAGTCAAAATGCTAGTAGTCATTTTTAAATATAGTTCAGGGGAAATAGCTTCAATAATATTAAATTCTAGCTTCCGATCACTAATTCTATTAAAGACTCTATTTCATATATTTTCAATAGATTTTTCTTATTCTAAATTAGGACTACTTTTTCTCTGTCACATTTCAATAAATATCATATAGGTAGATTATAGATAGCTTTTTCTTATTATTCCATGTTAGAACTACTTTTTCTTTATCATAATTGAATAGGTACCCCCCCCAATACAGATAATAAGGTGGTTTTTTTTTTTAGTTAACCCCGAGAAAAAGTGAGCTGCAAAATTTCACATTATGGGGCACTGAATTAGTACTGATTTTAAACAAGAAAATACTGTTTAAAGAAGTAGTTCATTCACCTGAAACTACATCCATAACTACTAGTTTGGGGTACTTACCGAGGGCACCATGAAGAATTTATTTTTAAAAAGAAAGAGAGAAACTAAGTTTTTTTTCCAAATAATAGTGAAGCAAGTTATTCAACCTCTTCCCATTTAAAATGTAAAATTCTAGATAAGAGCATTCTTTTAAACCCTTTTTAAAAGTACACATAAGAAGTGATGAGCCCAGAATTAGAGAAAAATGGAAACCTGAGCGTAGAAGCCACCTTTGCCCTCAGATCATTTACCAATCTTGGAAATTTCGAGTTTCATTTTTGTCTTCATGAAGTAGTAGGAGAGGGAGAGGGTCAAATGTCAAGTACAGACCTGTACAAGGTGGGCCATCTACTAGAAGACCTTCCCTAAAACCAGCTGGGGGCCTGAGGAGCCACAAAATTTGAATAAGTGTGAACCAGAGGTCGGTCATAGTTGTGTGGATTTATAGCGTGCGTTTGCATCACTTGGGTAATTCAGAGACTCTCAAGCCTTGAGCTTGGCTCAGAGTATTTCTAGACTGAAGGTGGCCTGAGGTACCTTGCAGAAGGAAGCAGTCTTCTCTGAAGGAAGGTGCCTTCTATCTAGACTCCAAGTTACTACGTTAGTAATTAGTACTGTCAGTTCTATGACACACTTGTCAGTGATAACCAGGAAAATTGGGCAACAAGCACCATGAATGAGAACCAAACTGTTATGGGTTGAATTGTGTGCCTCCAAAATTCATATATTGTAGTCCTGACCCCCAGGACCTCAGAATGTGACCCTATTGGGAAACTGGGTCTTTGCAGAGGTAGTTGGTTTAGACGAGATCATACTGGAGTAGGTGGACCCCCGATCTACGGTGACCGATGTCCTTATAGAAAGGGGAAATTGAGATGTAGGCACACACTCGGAGAACGCCAGGTGAAGATGAAGTCAGAGATTAGGGTGACGGCAGCTACAAGGCAAAGAACGCCAGATTGGCAGCAAACACCAACGGTTAGGGGAGAGACACGGAATAGAGTTCTCCTCCATCATAACCCTTTGAAGGAACTAACCATGCCAACGACACCTTGATCTCAGGCATGTAGCCTCCGGAACTGAGACCATAGCAGTTCTGTTGTTTAGGCCCCCAGTCTGTGGTAGTTCATCACGGCAATCCTAGCGAACTGATACACAGCAGAGAAACAGACACACAACGGCGCTGAGTATCAGAATTATCAAATACGTGCTATAAAACAGTCACCACACTATGGTTGAAGATAACAAATAAAAGTTTGAAAATATATGGAAGTAACAGGGAACCATAAGAAGTCTCATAGCACCCAGCCAGGGCCATAAGGCACGAGAAAGAAATAAAGGGGATCCAGGTGGAAAGAAGAAATAAAACTCTGACTATAGAAAATATCAAAAAGTACCTAGAACTCCTAAGCAAGGTTAGCAAGTTGGCACTAAATACGTGGTCAATATTTTAAAAACTGTAATTTTATATACTAACAATGAAGAATTAAAAATTGACCTGTAAAAAAGGTGCCATTTACAGTAGTACTAATCAAAGAAATACTTAGGTATATATCTAACAAAGTATATGTAGGATCTGTAGACTGAAAAATATAAAATATTATTTGAAGAAAGCAACAAAGACCCACATACGTGGAGATGCACTATGAGTTATGGACTGAATGTTTGTGTCCCTCCAAAGTTCGTAGGTTAAAATCCTAACCGCCCGATGTGGTGCTGTTTGGAGGTGGGGGCTTCGGGAGGTAGTTAAGTCTGGAGGGTAGAGCCCTCGTGGATGGAATTACTGCCCTTACAGGGTGAGGCCGGAGAGCCACTCGCTGCCTTCCTGCCATGTGAGGACACGACGGGAAGTGGACAGTCTGCAACCCAGCAGAGCGCTCTCAGCAGCACCCTCCACGCTGGTGGACTTGTTTTTATTAACATATCAGCCATTACAGTGAGCACAAGGAGACTAATTACATTAATTGTTCCACTTAGAAGTTAAAGATCATCAGATTGAATTTCTAAAACGAATTCTCATAAACTAAAGGACAGAAAAACATGTACTTTGCAAATACTGGGCAAAAGGAAGCTGGTGTAGCTCTATTAATAGCAGTCAAAATAAAATTTAAGGCAAAAAGCATTACTAACATTAAAGAGGGCATTTCACAAAAGGTTTCATTTCGGACCAGATAATAATTTTACCTTTCTATGCACCAACATAATGTCAAAGGTTATAGAGTAAAAATTGTAAAAATTGACAATTAAATAAAGTAGATGTAACCTACAATCAGAGTGGGTTATTTTTCGTATAATTGTATCAGTAATTCGTAGAACAAATGTATTTAAAAATTAAAGATATAAAGTATTTAGACAACACACATACAAAGACCTTATCCTACTTGACACATATAAAACATTGAAAACAATACATTATTTTTCCAGCACACGAGGAACATTTACAAACTTAAGCAAGTCTCAACAAAATTGAACAGATTCAGACCATACAGAGTATATTCTCTGACCACAATACAGTTAAACTAGAAATCAATAACAGAAAGATAAGAAAATTCTGAAGTGCTTAGAAATTGCCTAAAATTAATAAATTGCCTAAAAATTAACAAGCTAAATATTCATCTCATGAAATCTAATAAGTTAGCAAAGTAAACCTAAATAAAGTAGAAAGAAGTAAAGAATAAAGAGAGGAATAGAAATTAGTGCAAATAAAATCAGCAAACCTCTGATGCAGCTGATCAAGGAAAAAAAGGAGGCACAGATCATTAACATCAGGGCTGAGAAAGGGAACTTTATTACAGACAGTGCGGATGCTAAAACAGTAAGAGGATATTAATAACTACATGCCAATAACTTTGAAAATTTGGGAAAAGGCAAATTCCTAGCAAAAATGTAAATTCATAAAACAGATTCAAGATGTAAAAACCTGAATAGTGCCGGTCACCATTAAAGAACTTAAATTAAAGAGTCTGGCAGGTGAATACATGTAGCACAGACAGGGCCCGCGTGGATGGCTGCTGAACCATGCCAGGCAAACGCAAGTGCTCAGCGGCGCATCTGGGTCTGAGCGGCCCCTCGCCCCCACCCACTAACCAGAAGCGTCATCTTTTTCTTGTTTGTTTTAATTTATCGTTCTTGTTGAAAGTATTACAGATGTCCCCTTCCCCCCACATTGAGCCCCACCACCCCACACCTGCCCCCCCGCCTACCACTGCACTATTTTATATTTATTTTATTTTTTTCTTTATTAAGGTATTACATATGTGTCCTTATCCCCCCATTACCCCCCCACCCCCCACTCATGCCCTCAGCCCCCTGGTGTCTGTATCCATTGGTTAGGTTTATATGCATACATACAAGTCCTTTGGTTAATCTCTCCCCCTTACCCC